GGGGCGCAGGGCCGAGCGGGGCGCGGGGGGCTCGCGGGGGTGTGTGGCGCCGAGGGTCTTGAGGGCTCGTGGGCGCCGCCGCCCCCGAGCACCGCCAAGCCCGAGCAGAAAGGAAATGGGGGTCTGAGCTCCGCCTCCCGGAAAAGGCCCGGCCACGATCGTCCAGCCGCGGCGCCGGGGGCAGGTGGGGGGTGCTGGGCTCCGGAGGGGAAGTCCCAGGACGGCCGCGGGGCCCCAGCTGGAGGAGTCCGGGGTGCTTCTCCCCCCAAACCGCCGAGCGCCGCACCCCAGCCCAGCTCCCTCCCCGCTGCACCCCCACCCGCGCGGGGGCGGGGATCTGCGGCGCCCCGCCCCGCCCCCGCGGTTGCTGGGGCAACCACTAGACGCCAGGCGCGAGCCCGTGCGTGCCGCCTGCTTCCTGGCGCCGCGAGCTGGCCGGGCGTGCAGCCTGCTCCTCCAGCTTCTGGCCTCCCCACGCACTGCCAAGTCCTGGCTGAAGAGCTCTTTCAAGGAGTTCTGCATTCCCCAGGTCTGCGAGGTACAGGACAACAGGGGAAGACTTCCCGGAAGAAGAGCTAGGCTTTGGAAAGGAGGGACGGAGGAGAGAAATAGGAGAGGATGAGGTCCACTTGAATAAGTCAGTGATTAAGGCGGAAAGTTACAGATGCGCAAGGAGAAGGGCTATGATAGCTGAAGGGAGGCGTGAGTGACATCTGTCAGAGGTAAGAGTAAATCCAAAGTCTCTGTAAATTAAAATTAAAAATATCTTTATTAAAATTAATAAAAAAAGAGTTATGTTTCTTTGAATAGAGCATTTTAAAGAGGTAAGGACCTGAAAGAGTTCCGTGGATCCAGGCCAAGGTGAGCCTAGGGAGTGTGGTTTCAATGGAACAGTAAAGTTAGTTGAGGAGAAAGCGGAAACTGAGAACTTTAGACAGCTCTTGTGGAAAGAAGAGCTTCGCAGCTGGGCATGACTTTAGACATCATTGATATCCATTAAACAGGATGACTGTGGGTGGATGAGTTTTATAGCCTTGTTAGGAAACCAAGAAAGTTCTCCAGTGGCATAGTCCCTACAAATAGTTGGTGAGATCATTTTCTAAGAATCTGTGTGTGTTTGGACGGGGTTTACGTAACTACAAAGAAGAGTGTAAAAGGCAGAGTGTAAGTAAGGAAACAAGTGCAGGGCAGTGATGAGAACTCTAAATGGGGTAGAAATCTTTTTGTGTAGTTAGGAGAGGGGGTTGAGTATGCCTTCCTCATTCCCCAGTGGTAATTTACAACACACAGTAATAAATCAGGTGGAAGGAGATTGCACATCTTTTTCTCAAGGCTGCTGGTGGAATCAAACCGCTTACCTTTGAGTTCTCATAACTCCTTATTCATTAAGCCATCAGAGTTCAAATTCACTGCTACTGAGTTGGAACTGGCTCTTTGCTCACCCTCTGTTGGCTTTTTAGATGTTGTCAAATTGTTAAATGCCTAGCTTTTGACTAAGCATTTTTACTTCTAAAGAGCTACTTGCACTAAAGAGAAGTACTTGCACATGTGCTCAGGGAGGGGGGTGACTACAAGGATATTCATTTTAACATAGTTATTACTAGAGTTTCAACAGAATATGTCATATAGTGAAAATAATAGTCTAAGTGTAATGTTGTTGCTGTTATGTGCCATGGAGTCACCTGCAACTCATAGTGACCCTATGTAATGGGGAATGGGATATTTTATAGAAAACCATATTTGAGAAGATCACCACTAAATGTTAAGTAGAAAAGAGAAAAGTCAAGTTGCCTAACCAGAAATTCACCATAATTCTAGCTACCAGTCTATATTTATGTCCATAGTGGTAAAAGCTGCACTACAATCCCAAAGGCATGTGGTACACATCCATCAGCTGCTCCATAGGAGATTGGCAGTTTCCTCCTGTGTGATCTACTGTCTCTGAAAACCTCCTTTAGAGTCACCTATGGATTGGTTTTGACATGACAATACACAATAACAACAACTCAAACTAAAAAAAACGAAAACAAAAACAAACGAACAAAACCACACCAAAACCCAAAACTAAACCATCGGTTAAATCAGAACTGATTCACAATTGAACTTTATTGGGTTTTTATACTAAATTCCATGAGATCTAACTGCCCATCTTTCTCCCTTGTCTCAATTTGCCAGAAAGGCACAGCTTTTGGGTTAGCAATGCAATTTCCTGTGACAAGCTCACTAGAGCTCCCTGTTTGTTTAAGCTACTATTTATGGCATTTTTGTTGTAACACTGTTAGAGAGCTATGACATTCCCCTTTACCTAAGAAGGTATTTTTCTAAGGATTCACTCACCTCTGGCTACCACATTACCATTAGGAACAAGAAGGAAATCTTTTGAGGCCCCTACATACTTATCTTAATTATCATGAGACAATCAGAATGAATCCTGTAGTGTTTCATTCTTGTATCCATTTGATCCAATTTCCCTGACCTTGCACTTTCTAAAACCCATTTTCCATAAGTTTTGGGATACATGATTTTCATCACAAATCTCCCTGTGTATTCAGTTTCTTCTGAACTTTACTTCCATATATTAAAACCTGATTGTCTACATACAGCTTCTGTGATTGTTAGGCATCATTTAGTCTACTACGACTCATAGTGACCTTAACAGTTTAAAAAATTTGTTGCCATAGAGTTGAAATGGACTTACAGCTGACCCTCCAGCATTGTCTAAGTGGCTGTATATTATACAGATTTCCCACTTTTTTCCCCCTCTTTATTTTTTTTATTGTGATTTTAGTGAAAGTTTACAGAGAAGTTGAATTTTCATTCATTCATTGTTGCACATTTTTCTCCCTACCCTTCCAGTTCACATTGCAATGTACCTCTTATTCTGGACTGTTGTCATACAAATAATGCCTGATCATATATTCCTTTTAAGCAGTTCTTTTTCATCTGTTTCAATGAGGCATTCATTATGTTTCCCCTCTATCCTAGTTTCTTCCCAGCCTCCCAGGTCAGTCTTCTTTTGTAACAGTGGTGTTACGCAGTTTCTGTCCTTTTGTGACTGAGCTGTTTCACTCAGCATGATGTCCTCCAGGGTCACCCATGTTTCACTTTCTTAATTTCAGTTTCCTCTGGTCAACCACAATCTTGAAAATGGTAAGTGTAGTCTCTGTCATCTTTCTCCATCCTGCCTGGGGTGTGGATGATCTCTTTCTCCAGCTTATTCATCTTGTGTATGCTAACCACCCATTGGTCATTGTGGTACCTAATTAACAAATTATCCTTTATCATAGGTATATGTGTGGAGAACAAAACATACTATACATATGGTTTGGTACTATCTGTGGTTCCAATCTCCACAGATAAAGGAAATTGCTGCATTTATTAAGCTCTGGTGGCCTAATGGTAAGGAGGTGTGCTGCCAGTCCAAAGGTGTAGAGTTTTAATCCATCATGTGTTCTGTAGAAAAAACATGAGTAGTCTTCTCCTATGAGGTTTACTCACAAACCTGTTAGAGGGTCAACTTTGACTTGGTTCTGACTCCATGATACATAGTAACAATGACAATAACAATAATTGTACTTTGATAATTTTTCTGTAAAACTCTTACATAGAGGCTATTGTGTCTGTATGTGTGATAAATCTTGTTTAGTTCATTGGATTGATCAAATTTATTGTTTTTAGAAAATTCATGCCCATTTTCAAGTACTATTTCTGTCACATTCTCTTCTAGTACTCTGATCACAAAAATGTTTTCATGTTAACTTTGTCCTTCATACTTCTGTTA